GTATTAATACACATATGAACGTTTCACAGACCATTTCCCAATTTTAAAAAAGGAACACGGTGCACGGTCGTCGCAAGAGCTTTCCGCGACGTATAAGTATAATCGACTCGACGCATTAAAACTGCAGCCTGCGCAAAAAGCCGGAAAAGTAGAAGCAGGAAACGACGAGACGAGGTATATATCGGAATTCGTTGCCGAGTCACGGGGTTAAGAAAGTTTCCTTTGGCCGTTTGATCACCGTCCGAAACTAACGGACGAAAGACCGAGCGAATCGGAAAGGCCAGCGGACCAAGCACAGAGACATCGGCAGACACACAGTCGTCGTCGATCGTTCTCCCTTCTATCCGCGGCAAGAAGTCCAAACAGGGCGGCTAACTTTTTCGATAGCCGTTGGATCGTTACCCTTTCAAATGCGGCGGAGAAGCAGTATGATCCGTGCGCGCCGGCCACCGGTGCGGGCCATCCTCGTCAAAGCGAAGTCGGAATCCGGCGGAATGTATGCAGCGCCCCAGAAAAAAAGTTTGGCCGGTGAATAGAGGCGCGCGGCGGATTGAAGCGGAGGTTTGTCCCGGGCTGAATTTATCCGCGAGGTTAGAGCGCGTGAAAGCGCCGCCACCCGGAGCCACCCCGCAGCCTCGGCGGTGCCTCGAAACTGTGTGAAATCGTATTACCCGATGAATATGCAGCGCGATTTTGCGGTCGAAAGTTTTCGGTTCCGCTTGTAACTCGTAGCCCTGTCTGCCGGTTAAACCGGCCGGTGTGGAACCCGTGGAACTCGGATCTCCAGACGTATTCTAATTAGCACAAAAACCAGCGCGGGGAACAAGGTGGCGGCACGGCGGAAGCGGGAAAAGGAAGCGGCGGCGACGGTGCGGAGGGGAGGGTGTACCGAGAACGTGCAAGGGCTGTTCCTAAATCACACTCGACCGAAATTTGCGTTCGGCGGCTTAATTGGTTCGCTCGCAGAAAGCGCCGGCAAGAAATCACCCAGGGCCCAACCCCTGGGAATTAATTAGGCATCGGCATCCCCTGAATAACGATTAAATCGAATTTAATTGGACAATCCCATCGGCAGGATTGGGCAGTTTTGAGTTCGAAGCCGCGCAAGAAGCGTCTGCCGGTTTCTTCGGGAAATAATTGGTTTTCTTTGACCACCATTGAGCGTAAGGGTGTGCCGGTTCTTTCTGTCGTTTCTCGAATAGATCCCTCCGAGCCATCTCGACCCTTTCCGCCGTCTTTCCCTTCAGGATTCACTTTTCATGGTAAGTCAAACGGGAAATTGCATCGCGAATGCCCGACGTGGCCGATGCCTGAACGGATGATTAAAAGTTGATCGAATTATCGAGTCGCCACGGTTCGGTAGATGGATTAGACGATTTCGAGCAACTGTTGGTCGAGTCAGCTCGAGTTTCGTCTTTCTTATTGCGACACCCCGTGCTTATTGGCTTGTCGGCGGGTATCTCTCTAGTCTCGATGCGATCGCTTTGATCGTTGATTGAAACGCGGTGGGTAAAAGTGGAGAGAAGTGTCCTCGTGGCGACGGCGTGGCATCATAAATCGTCTTTTCTCGTCGTTTAATTCCATCACCGGATCGTGCGATCCGAATTCGATGTCTCCGTCTGTTTGAATTGTCGTCTGTTCTGTCGATCGCTGGATGCACGTTTTCAGTACGATCGCAATAACGATCGAAGAAATGAGAAAAAAAAAGTTTTATTTTCTCTCCCAGCGGTGTAATTTTTCAAATTTCTCTGGAAACTGTTCGATAAGACGGACTTTTATGTGTGATTCATGTGCGAAGTTCTTGGTAGCTGTTGAGATAAAATTGTAGAAGTTATCCTTGCGACGTCGTTTTAAAATTTAGTTGTATTTTATACTTTTCCTACACTCCCTGTACAATTTTTTTTCAAATTATTGTTGAGAAATTGTTCAGCGGAGTTCTTTGCAGTTGTTGAAATATAAAATTGCTGGAATCCTCGTTGTGGCATCGTTTATCGAGTTTATCGATATTGTTTTGTATTGTTATTATTTGGAATCTGTCCAGTAATACCTGGAAAGATTATGATTACTAAAAATTGTCAAAATTGGCGTTGCAATGTACGCTGTGATATCGAGTTGGATACTGTCTCTATATATTTTAAACTCTCCATTCACCGAGACAATTAAAACAGTTCGCAGTAAAAGAACACGTAAAAAAAAAAGAATCTCGAAGATTGAGCGATGATATCAAGCTACTATTTCGTTAAAGTAGAAGGAAAAGCAAAGGAGAAGTTATGTAGGAAAGAGGAAGCCACATAGTGATAAAATTGATCCTTTATTTTCCATCGTTGACGATACGCTCGAGCCACGCGAAACCACCGGACAAAATGAAATTTTACGCTAGACAAAATTTCCGGGTCACGAGTAGGAGAGGCATCAGAATAAATTTTCGAGTAATCTATCGGGACCTCGCTGGTGTATCGCATCGTCGAGGAGCGTAGCTAAGAGACCGTCCCAAGTAAGTAATACAAGGATATTAAAATGAAATGTGTAAGGCAGGCAGGAAAGAATGCAGTAGCGATGGAAGCTACGTACATATATACTCGGGACCGCCCACGACGACATGTAGGTTGTCAGAACAAAATACGACGTTAGATAATGCACCGTAACGAGATCGGGTAATGGCATTGGTCTACTCGTGGAAAAGTGCATCCACCGAGCAGTCACGCTGATAAGATTTACCTTCTCCATGTAGCGTGCAAGTATCAGCGGCAGCCGTGTAGGTCCGAAATTATCAAAGGAAAGAAAATTTCTAGGTCGACCGTGAGAAGTCGAAAAAAAGAAAAAAATAAAAAAAGAAAGGATAGTATGAAACGCGTGCGGATACTTACGGTGGAAAGGCGTGATCTAGAGCTGCTGGATCGCCTTTTCAAGGATTTCTTCTCCGACGATATGCAGCTGCAGTTCCTGCCGTAACCCCGCCACTCTCTACCTCTTCGCGATTTCCAGCCTTCGTTCCACCTTGATTTTCGTTGTTTCATATACTGGATCTTAGCGCGTTCGCCTTGAGCGATTGTCGGTTCGTGCAAGGAAATTCAGAATTTCCAGCCAGGGTGAACGACGTTTGATTTTTCTATGTGCATAAGGCGAATATATATCTATCTGTACACGCGCTTGTTTAATAATTATACTCGCAAAGTTGCCCGTTCACTTTTCAGCAAAGCATACTTTCTGATTTTTCGTTAAGGACTTATTTCTTTTTCCAGTTAAATTCCACTTATCCATTTATTCTAAATTTCAAAGTGCAAGATCGGGCAGAATATGAAAAAATATTGTACGTAGAATTATGCAAAGTACAGTTCTTTCTGTGACATTTACTATATGAAATGAGATTCTGCTTTTTTAATTACATTCTCTACGGAAATATAGATCTGCATAAAAATCTGCAGAGTAATTAGCATAAATCAATAATGGTTATATTATTATTTCACGTATGAGAAAAAAGCAAATGTTGTGTAATATTTACTAAAAGAATGGATCATGAAGGAACGTTACAAACAAAAATTTTACTGTACGATTCACTGAGCTATGGTCGACTCAGCAAATTTTTATAATTAAATTATTCGTATAAGCTTTGAAATATCGAAAGTTGCGCAGGAAAAAGTTTGAAGTTATTTTATACATCTCGCCAAGCGAATCTCATTCTCTCTTGCAAAGTATATTTTTCCGAACACGCGAAATTCTTCTCAAAATAGAAATAGAATTCATACGGATGGATTTAATATGTCTCTTTGCTTCTCTTGAGATAACTTTTTGCACGTTCCTTTCGCTTGAAAATTTCGTGAACAACATGTTTACTCGAAATCTTTGATGTATTTTGTTATTAGCTTTGAAATAATGTTGACTGCTTTTTTTGTCAAATAAATAAATTCTAATTTTTTACTTAAAATTATATAATCTATTTTTTATAATACATATCATAATATATAATACATATTAACTTTACATATTTTATAATACATAATATATCTATTTTTTACAATATATTTAATACAATAACTCGTTCGATGAATGTGCAACAAACGTAGAACAGGAACAGTATCTTTTAAATTTAGATAATATAATGTTCAATAATTGAATGAAAATAATTCAACTCGTGAGTTATAATTTAATAAATTCAGTTTAAAAAGTGAAACAATAAAATATAAATGAAAAATATCTAATGATTTATTAATTACTATTAACTTATTTAGTTATGATATAATAGTACGAATTTTTTATTTGAATCAAACTTTGGCGCTAAATAGTTTTCCATTATGGCGCCCGAGGCAATACGTGAGTCGCAATTTGAACAGTAATTAACATTATATAACGCAACGAAAATAATATAGCTCGTGATTTATAATTCAATAAATAATTAAAAAACTTAAACAGAAAAATATCTATTAAGTTATTAATTACTTACAAGTTAGTTATACGGGACACGATATAATAGTTCGTTATTTGAATCTAACTTTGGCGCGTAACAGTTTTCCAATATGGCGCTCGAGTGTTAGACGCTTAGAATACGTGTCGTAATTTAAACATTAATTACTAATAATTAACGTCAGTGTAGCTTTCGATCTCTTTGATTCTTATTCAAATAGACAAATATACGCCCGTGACGTGTTTTATTGTTAACAATAATCTTGTAGTTTTATCGTAAATGTGAGCAAAAGTCCATTACTAACGCTACTGCTGTCAACAAGTAAGTCTATCTCTGTTTATTAGTGTTTTGGGAAGTGATACGTCACTGTATATATTCGTATTCTGAAAAATGCGTGTACTTCTGCGCCCTAACAGTTTTTCATAAGCGCGTAAATAATAGAATCAACAATTGGTACGTGTGTTTTGATTCGTCCCAGCAGGACGAATTTCATTTCGCAATTGTGTACGTGTTGACGCCGTTCGTAACGCGACGCGAAGTGCTACCTTTTGGGAATTACACTCTAAGATAAACTCTTGTTCGATCTTGTTTGTTACAGAGGTTGCAGTGGACCAGCAGCGGGGCGCATCGCGAACTTTGTTATCTGAAAGGACGTAGCGAGGACCAGTGTCAAAATTATGTACGAGTATTCGGCAGACAAGGGCCTGATCGATTTCTTGTTTGTGGAACGAACGCGTACAAGCCGCTCTGCAGGCAGTTCACCATCAAGGTAAGCGCTTCAGATTGTTCTTTTTTCCTTTTTCTCTTTAACCGGCTTGGAACACCAAGGTCGTTCGATAAGTAGCCCTTTGTCTCAAACCGCCAGATTCCGGTCACTTTAATGCTCGACCACCACAGTTTGCCGCATGTACGAAAGTAAATCGTCCAGTGAAATTGAGCTTTGCGGCGAGCCACCGCTCGTCTGTCTGTGCTATTGTTTCCGATAGAGTCTTTTTAGTCGTGTCGTGCATATAAAAGCTGTTAATACATGATCATTCACGTGATTATTCCGAGCGAAAAAAAAAAAAATTGAAAGCAAGACACACTGTTTATTTTTAATTTTCTTTATCAATTTTGCAAAATATATACGCGAATAATATATTTTTTTATAATATTATGTATTCCACACAGAATGTTTCAAATATGCACAAATCTATTTTCCTTTTATAAAAGTGGTTATACAAAGAATTATTTGAAATTCATCAATGTACGATTTAACATAATTACGAGCAAATGAGATAGAAAGAAATAGTAACTTTATGTTTATATAAACCTACACTTGCAGTGTTTCATCAATTTTATCCTATATGAATTCACGTATTGTATGTCGTTGTTAAATATTTGATATTTTTATATCATTAATTAAAATTCGCAAATAAAATGCAAAGTATATACAGCTATTCACTTCGATTGTAACTCGCAAATAATGTTACAAGCAGGCTATTCATTTGTCGGTACCTGATCGAATGACGTGTATTTTTCAAATTACAATTATTTATTTTGACAAAAGCTCTACATTTCGTTGGTTGCTGAAACATGGGATTAATTGCCTACCACGTTTCAACCACGAGCGAAATATTTTTATGGAAATTTGATAGCGGAAGCGTGTGTTGTCATCGAATTAATTATTTTTCTTTTTTTTATTAAAAACATTAGCGAACAACGGTAATAACATAAAAAGTTAAACGAATATGTAATACATTTTATCAGCACAATGAGCACTGGGATCAATCGTATTGTTAAAATATATTTATATAAAATATTTGTTGAATCTCTTCGAGGTTTTATATTCCCCGTGTTACAGTGTATATCGAGTTGCCAGTATTAATCTTATCAAAGAGGTTTTTAGTTTTCGCTCGATATGTCCATTAAATGTAACGTACATAAAAGTTACTTATCTTAATCCAGTATCTCAATAATGAAAAAGCAAGTTGATAAATACTGTGGTGCTCGAACATTGAAGTGACGCTAATGTGCAAATCAATAAAAAAATATATATATATTATTTATTTAGAGGATACACAGCTAAATTAGAGATGTGTACAGTGTTGTTTAATTCATATTATATTCAATTAGACAAGATAAATAGTAATAGCATTATGATCGGTCGCAATAATTATTTAGATACTAATCTTTGTCTTTGTATAATTGAATATTCTGGTAATTTTCTACTTATCAGCAAAAATACAATATCAGATGTATGAGCAGTATCCATTAAAATATTGCTCATTTAACATTAATTATACGAGTGATGTATTACGGTTCGTTTCCATTTTGTTATAATGAATAATAATTAAATTGGTATCCATTAAAATCCTTGCGGATGAGAATAATGATGATAATGAACGTAACATGATGGAAACAAATCAGCTATATAAATCTAAATAATGTTCAGTTTTAACTTTTGCTCATTTTAGTATTATATAAAATATATAAAGTATTTTATAAAATATATAAAAATGTAGTATATATTATAGGAGTATATTTGTATAGTTTATATGTAGTATATATTATAAAAGTAAGTACTCATTCACATTTCTTAAATGTTATATCTATGTAATAAAAAATGTAGGAACTATATACATCAACAGGAAATAGTTTTAAAAACCTTCGTCTCGTGTTGCAAGATCAAATGCCATAACTTTTCAACGTCAGTCCATCACACCAAATATATAGATCTATATTTATATTATTTTGAATTATTCCTTTTAGTATACTTTTATCTTTACTATTATTTTATTATTTTTCCGTTCCATTTTCCATCGAAATTGAATTTCCACAAAATCTCGCGATTAGTTAATTTTTGATCGAGATTTTATCGAAATACTTATTAATTTTTCTATTTTTTATAAACTAAAATTCTTATTCACTTTCGTATAGAGACGAAAAGTTTCGTTAATCAGCGTGAATTAATCTATGTCCCCGAAACAAAATTGATTACCTAGAACGTTACACAACGATACGTGGATACTTAATGAGCAAGCGTCCAATAAAAGTGGACGATGGTCTGATTTTGGTTTTGCTTCGTTTGTTTATTTAATAACCACGTGCCTGTGCATCCACACGTTCACGCCCGAAGGCGAAGCGGAATACGGGAGGAAAGGATGGCGTTTTAGTTGCGTTGCTGCAAAGTCGGATACGTTTTCAGGACAAATTGAACTGGTAAATAACGTTAGAAACGTAGAATTTGCAGATAATTTATTGTTCCGTGGCAAATATTAGCGCAACAAACAGAACGCATAATACGATTACACAATGATAGCAATAAGCGGGAACGATACGAGAACTATAATCAGATTCTCGTCAATTCTACGTGGTAATAATACAAGATGTTTTATCATCAGATAGTTCGAAGAACGGTTTGATGCAACATGTGTCATGGATTAATGAACAACAGTGCGTATTTTGCAGATAAGAAATTACGAAAGATTAAAATCAATTACGCCCCTGGAACCGAGTGTTCTTGTTTCTTCTTCTCTTCAGTCGTTCAAGTTTCGACGATTAAAAATTATTACATTGAAATTTATAAATTTAGGTAGTTAATTCATATAGCAAGTCACTAAGAAACTTCTGCTAATGACTGTTGCTGCTAATTACCGCGAGGAAATTGTAATTGCTCCCGTTTGATAACGCAACGTGTGGATAGCATCTCATTGTTCGTTCGTTATGTAGAACGAGTCACCTAATTTTCCTACTTTAAATTACTCGTAAACTATTTGTTATGCAACAAAATGTGTTTCAAGCAAAAGTTGTACGGTATTAAGGGAGTCGTGCAATGTTATAGCTAATAGGAGTATCGTTTTCAGCTTTACAAACGTAACGTACAATTTCGCAAACTTTCGAAAACTCCTACGATTTTCAAACAATATCTCGGGAATTACTGATGATTTTTAATAGGTTTTACTCGTCGTTCAATACCCTTTCGAAATACAGAATTAAATATAAATGCTCGCACGTGCTCAAACATATCTTCACATATGAAGCAAATGAATTTCGAATAATTGAACGTGGCAGAATTAAATGACTCAGCGTGCACGTCAAGTTTCGACGTTAATCAAGTTGAAGTTTCGATGAAAATGCTGATTTCACTTTTATTATATAAAGAGAAAGATATTGTATCGAGGTTGTTGCCTGAGGAAAATACAAGACAGCAGAAGTTGGGGCTTTTATGGGATCTTTTACGAGGTTAGAGTAGAGTGAAGTTCGTCCCAACTTTTTACTTTATCACGGTGCACTGCTAATATCATATAATAACTCGTAAAACACGGTTAATACTGTATCTATCTGTAATAGTTTACTCCTGGAAGCTATCGTATAATGCACGCTTTCGCGTTTTTCTTTCTCTTCCTCCTCCCTCGGAAGCAACGATTTTTCATAGCGGCGTAATAACGTATTTCTCTAAATTCCCCCCCCCCCTCCCCCCTCCATTTAACGTTCATGTTTAACGAGCAGTTATTTATAACTGCAATCAAACAGCGTTACTTTCTAATTCTAAATAGTTAAAATTAATATCTTGGGAGTCTTTGGGAATGGTGTCTACTTTATGAACGTTTAATGTGAGAAGCATCATTAATCTTCATACATACGTATTTCCAATGAGAAGGCTAACCGGGGACCAGCTTAGGAACTTTAAAAAGTGAAATTATTAGGTAAAGCTCGATTACGAAATGAGAATATTAAAAATATATAAAATATATAAAATTTATAAATATATAAAATATATTATTTTATAAATATATAAAAACTTTAACATTTTCTTGGAATAGAAAATTCCTTCGTAGCATGAATCTACATATCTGAAAAATTAATTATAAAAGCTTACTATACGTGCATGTGAATAATAAATTTATGCAATATTATGTTAATATTTTAAAATTAATTCCAAAATTAATTACGTAGTATTTTTTGATTATCTGTACCTTAAGTATTGTCTTGTAAAAAAATTTCTTATTTTTTATGCTCACCTCCCTTCAGATTCTTCAGAAATATATATAGATATATATATATATAGTTTTAAATATATATATATGTATATATATATTTAAAATATAAGAATTTTCATTACGTACGTTGCGCGAAAGTAATTCATTCGCCGGGGAACTTGATGTTTTACAAAATCTACTTACAGCCTCGCGAGTTACGATATAGCATTTCAGCAATTATGCACGCGAACTTAATACATTTCTGGGGAACGGTACTCAGCTAAACTGAATTTGTTGTCGTTATCCTTTACGACATATTAATTCTCTCAGTCATTAGTTCGATACGTCTGTCGGATTAAACGGTCGAATTTTAACGTAAATTTCAATTTCGAAGTTGATACTCGCGTCGCGCAAATTAATTATTTCGAGACCGATCTCGCCGATTTTAATAAAGGGCAACTTGTGAAATTCGTATCTCCTGAGTTCGATACTTCGTACGAAATATCGCTAAATTATAACGTTGCTAAAATACACTCGCTCGTTATTTTCTTCAATTGTGTCATTTCGAAGCAGTTTATTATTATTCAACGTCACATGACAACACGTGTCGTTAAAACTTACATAACTTTAAAAGAATAAACAATATTTCGTACGTTGAAACTACGTCGAGAGCGAGTATGGAATTTGGAATTACATTTTCCAAAAGTATCAACCTTTTTCGTTCCCCGTCCGAGTGCCACTGCTCATTTTCATTTTATTATTATATACCAAACTACATAATAACGATATATATATACACAATATACCA